AGACTTCTCATATCAGTGAGTTGTACTCCTGCATAGATCACAGTTTAGAGGATAAACTTTTATGTGAAATTCTTCTCTGGCTCTGCAAGCCAGAGTATCTTGTAATCAAGATTTGTTTTTGTTTTGTTTTCACCAACAGCCTGTTTTCTGTTTCTCACCCAAGTTTAGATCATTGAGTACTAGAAGATTTGAACTAGTAATATTGGGCTGACACCCGAGTCTGTGTTTCTAATCACTCTGTGTTACTGCCTTGTAGCTTATGACTGTTACATAGTATTCAGAAAACATTTGTTAAATGAATAGAAGAAAGTTTGGCAGGCCTTTTTGTGCGAACTTTTTTGGTGCCTTTGCCTTGGATGTGCCTCTTCCTGGCTCAAAGGACAGATTCTTGTTACTATGTCATGGGAAAGTGTGATGAGCACTCAGTAACAGTTTGTCACCTGACTTAATGAACAGAAATGCATGCATTGCTAGAGAGCTTTTAGGAGGCTAACCTGATTTCTAGGTTTCTGCTTCTCCCATGATAATTTATGGTAGAAGTAGGAGGACAAAAGAGACTAATACAAGCAAAAATACAAACAACAAAAACTCAAAATAGTTTTCTTGCAATTTTTTACTTAATAATTTTCAAGTATATAGAAAAGTTGACAGATTATTACAAAGAGCTACCATGTACCTTTTATTTAGATTCAGTAATTGTTTTCTCACTATAGTCCTTTACTCCTCTTGTGTATATGTTTATACTTATGTATACATAAATTAATAGAAACTGTATAAATCAATTTAATACATACATTCAGATAGCTATAAATATTTATTTACTTAAAAGTTTACATTTATAAAAATGTATAACATTTATTTTCTTATTTCTGATCTGCTTGAAAGTGGCAGGTGTCATTTATGTTAACCCTAAATACTTCAAACTTATCTCCTAAAACAAGAATATTTTATTATGATACTTAAGAAAATTATCAGTAATTTCACAATACCAGCTGTTACTAAGTTGATATTACAGTTTTCCTAGTTGTTCCAAGAATCTTTAATAGCTACTTTTCACATTTACCAACACATTTTCTTATGTTAACATTAGTTATGTCTTTTGTTTGTTAATCCCATCCCAAACTTTTTAAAGAATTCAGGCCAGTTGCTACTTCTGTTGAAGACTCTACCGTGCTGTAAATTTGTCAATTTCTTTGTGGTATAATTTAACTTGTTCCTTTATTTCTAATACCTGTGAAGGACAGTTCTGTATTTTAGTGCAGAAAGTGTCCCAAGTTTAGCCTATGATACAGTAGTTCCTTTCAGGCTAGCTCCTGTTCCTGTGATGAGCCCCCCAACTACTTGTCTTTGAACACTTTACTTTTCTTATTAGCATAATAAGGCATTGCAAGTTCACTCTGAACTTTCCCTATCTCAGAATGGGGTTCACCCATTTTCCAGAGAGCCTTGGTTCTAAAAAATAAGTGAGGATTTTTTAACTTAATGATTCACTCTTTTTCCTCTCACAGAAGCCATCCTTCATTTGATTCTATATTAAGTAAGGATCACGAGGACCTTATCCTAGTATTGCACATATATAAGACAAGGTGAAATAATACAGTAAGGATGGGATTCTGCTGGACCAGAGGAGTTCTTCTAGTTTAAAATAGTCTCTTTTTACTTTCCCAGCCCACTAGTAATTTTATCTCTGACTCCTCCTCCCTCCACCTGTGGTTTTTCCTCACAGAGGTTTGTTTTTATTCCTTCCCTCATCCCCTATTCTGTCTTCTCTGATCTTTAGTTTTATTTTTCTGTGTAGTGCATTTTAGAGTTCAGCCTTCAAGCTGTGCAAAATTTCCCATTTTAGCTGATAGTTTAAGTTTTGATGTGATCTTGTGTAATACTAATTTATATTTATGCTATCCTATGAAATAGTCTTTCTTTGAAGTGATTGTCATGACTGCTTATTTACCTCTGTTTTTAAATGCTGTTTAAGCAGACTCAGTGTGTTGAATTCATGCCATGGTTTGGTTTACACCACTCTTTAGGTTTCTGGACCTGTTGCACTCATTTGCCCAGGATTGAGTCAAACGTATATTCACTTCATTATACCTCACCAAATAGGGAAGGAGGGCATCTTCCCCTATTTATATGTTCCTAATATAAGTTCTCTCCAGATGGAAGGCTGAAGTCTCATTGTGCTAGGAAAGAAGGAGAAGTGGGGCATTTTGAAATCTGGTAATATCAAGAAAGACAGAAAAAATGATAAAGATAAGACTATAGTACCTGTTTTTATAGTCTGCCACATGGCATATATTTAAATGAATTTGCTTACAATTTGTCTCAAATGTTGACGTTTAACTCCTAGGCTATATAGCTATGTTTGATTTTTTTGGAGGGAAATTCATATTCTATAACCAAGCTAATATGTTCACCTATTACAAACATTACTGCCTATGATAACAGCCTGAATACAAAATTTTTTATATACACAATAACAGGCAGAGACTCCTGAGACCACCAAAAGTCATACAGTGTTTTGGAACTTGATAACAAAAAGCATAGAAATGTTAATCCAGTCTGCTGGAGCACAGATTGGCTTTAAAAACCTGCTAGCTTACTGAGACCGCAGTTCATTCTGTTGTTGTTATTGTTGTTTAAGACACAAAATATTCAATAAGCTTCCTGATTAATGTATTCTCTAAGCTTAGTAACCTAACCTTCATTGGACTCCTTCTATAACCCATCTCTTGCTTCTTTTTTGTCAAAGGTTAATAATGAAAATAATGAAACAATTGGTTATTTATGCAGTCATGATTGACAAAAGTTATTAGAGGCAGGAATCTGGCAGGAATCTGCCCAGAAGCAATGATTAGGTTATGAAAATGTTAAGGAATATTGAAACCAGTCACCATTTTTGATATTTAAGAAATACTATTCCCACTCTTGATGATCACCTATTGAAAAAGTATTTATGCAAAATAATCCTATTGGACAGTAATTCTTTTTTTTTTTTGGTACCGAGAATCAAATTTACAGTGTCGTGCTTGCCGGGCAGGTGCTTTGCTGCTGAGCTACATTCCCAGCCCTGGACAGTAATTATTATATCAATAGCATACATAAGTAAGTGTTAAGAAGGAGATCCCAGAAATTATCAGAAGGGAAAAAAGAAGCCTTAGGAGGAAATTACCACAGTGAGAAATAAGAAACAGAACTTTGTCTTGGCTGTCTTCCAGACACCTAGTCTACAAAGTTGGGTGACTTTTTTGATTATTTTCATCTTGATTACTTCCAAAATTTTAGGAGCTATGAAAGAGGGTACCTCAGGTTAGGTTCCCATGCTCTTTATACCAGACCATAAAGAATATATGGATATATATGGACAGAAAATTCTTCGGTGATGATTTTATTAATAAAGCATGGATTTAGCTGATGTTATACAAAACAAACAAGACAAAAGACAAATTACAATCCCTTTATATTTAATATAGTTAGGAGCTTTCTATGTAAATTAGATAGTAATTATTTTTAGCAGAGCAATATCATCATTTTTAATTCATACTTGTTTTTCAACAACTTTATTGAGATTTAATTAAAATAAAAATCACCCCTTTAAAGTATACACTGAAAACATTTTGAGTATATTCCAAAAGGTGCACAAACACCACTGCTCCCTCATTGCATAACATATTCTTTACCTTTTCCCCCAAACCTGTGCATGGTGGTTACTCCCCTTTTCCTCACCCTTAATCTCTGCCAGCTACTACTCTATTTTCTCTGTGAGGACTTGCCTATTCTGGGTATTTCATATAAATAAAAAGTCATACATTTTATGGCCTTCTTGGCTATCATTCTCATTTAACATGTTTTCATGGTTAGTATCATTACTCCATTATTTTTTATGGCCAACCAATATTCCATTAGTTGGAAGACATTGGGGGTTTTCACTGTTAATGATGTTCTGAATATGCATGCTTTTGTGTGGAGATGCTTTGGGGGAAAAGTTCTTTTGGGTAAATACCTATGAAGAATACTTCTGGGTTACATAGTAAGTGTGTCTTTTTAAAATACTGCTGAATTATCTTCCAAAGCGGTTGTACATTATTATATTTTCATTAGCTATGTTCAGAATTACAGTCCTCCTACATTTGTTTTCAACCTTTGCTATTATGTTCAAAGTTACAGTCTCTTCACATTTTTATCTACATTTGCTATTATTAGTCTTTTTTTTTTTTTTTTTTTTTTTTTTTACCATGGCCATGCTAGTGGATATGAAGTAGTTTCTCACTGTGCTATCAATTTCTGTTTCCTTAATGACTGATTATGTCTAGCATCTTTTCTAGTGATTATTGACCATTTATATATTTTCTTTTGGGAAAACTACTTTTCCCATTTTTAAGTTGGGCTAATAATCCTTTTTCTTGTTGAGTTGTATAAGGTCTTTATATATTCTGGATACCAGTCATGTATCATATATTGATTTCCAAATATTTTCTTTTATTCTTAGGGCTGTCATTTTAGTGTCTTACTAGCGTTCTTTGAAGCTCTTAGAGTTTTGAATTTTAAATCCAATTGATCTACTTCTTTTAATTGTTTGTGCTTAGAAGTGATTGTCGCTAATCCAAGGTCACAAACATGCACTTTTATTTTTTCTTCTAAGAGAAATAATTTTAACTCTTACATTTAGATCAGTGGTTTATTTCCATTTTATTTTTCATATGGCTTGAAGTAGGAATTCCTTTGTGTGTTCCTAGATCTGTTTTATTTTTCAGAGTTAAAGAATTGAGAGGCAAATACCTCTTGACTGGGGTAACCATTGCTACTCTCTGTGAATTATTCTTTCATGATCTTAAGGAGTATGCAACACTGTTTTCATCTGCTGACCTTATGCTCACCTACTCTCTTACGAAATATTGCATTTCTATCTCTGTTTTGTTTATTGGAATCTGAAAAAGCAGTACTTATGTATGCAGTTTGAATCAATTTTTTTAGTTGTTTTTTCCCTTAATTTTCCATCTCACCTCTTCAGCTACAGTATAGAGAATGCCAAGAACTTCTAAGTCTCTATCAGAAATACCTATCAGAACAGCAGGAGAAGCTCACCATGTCTCTCTCAGAACGTAGTGCTGCTAAGATGCAAGAGCAACAGGTAAGCATCTTTATTCTTATCCTTTCTTGTCTTCAACAGATCAGCAAGATGTCAGCAGCGTCATTGCCTTTTAGGTTAGGTGACTCACACTATATAGAGTGTCATAAAGTATACAAATAGAGAATGTGACTGAGTTCTTCTTGTCTTTTGCTCTTTCTCTTTCCTTTTCCTTTGCTGTGCCTAGTGCCAGTGGTCAGGAATGAGAACTTGAAGCAGGTTGTGGGTTAGTGGGGAACTCAGTTTGAAAACACAGCAGGAATGAAAAAGAAAATGCACTGCTTGTTGCTTATTGAGGAAAATCAAGTGGACTACTTGTTATTCATTGCCTCTTTGGAAAGCACTAAAAAGCCTTTTCTAATTTATGTTTGTAATTCTTAGAATAAAAGTGACTAGATGATGTGTCAAAAATTTAACTGGAGAAAATTGGAACATTTCACATATATGAGATGTGATTGTGAAATACCGCATGTATTTAAATTTGAAAAAAATTTAGTTATTGCAGTAAAAGACACATTGCCATTAATCTCCTTCAAAATATTCCTTGTTTTGAACACTTACCCATTGCTTGCCTCTTTCTAAAGCAGTTCTGCAGTTCCTTTTTCATGAGTGTTTTTTGTTCTACTGTCTTAGCTGCCTTAATGTCCTAATTCAGTTCAACACATCTAACTTTCATGGTCATTTTGACTTTGGGAAAGAACCAGAATTCACATGGTGCCGACTGATTAAAGTGATTGAGGACACACAGTAGGTAATGTTTTTATAAACCTGCCTTTCTGTTAGATGGCACTCAGCGTCATGCTATTTTTTATCACATCTCATAAGAATATAAAAGAAGACTTTAAGAACTGGTAAGAAAGTGGCAAGAAAGATAAGAGTTTATGGCAATGTGTCTTTTTCTGTAATACATTTTTAAAATTTAAACATTTGCCATATTTTTCATTCGTCCCTTGTATATTATGTATTAATCACATGGGCATATGAGTGCTTATATATAAGAGCATGGACACACATATCACCAAGTAATATAATTAAATGAATAATCAGAGCTCTGCCATTTATAATGTGAACAAGCTGTAAAGGTACTTCTTACCAGGAGCTGTCTTTTTCATATCTGTATGAGTTTAAATCTTCAAATAGATTATTTTTCCCTGCTATTTTGAAGTTTTGAAGGTATTCCTAGCCTATTGCTTTTGGGCAGGCTAAAGAAAATTGTATATGAAGATCACATTTCTGGCCATTGGTGTCATATTTCTGCGTACTCTTGCATGACATATGTGCATGTAGAAGATACAAAACTGAAGGCAAGGATGTGGAACAGGAGACTGAGGAACTTTTGACTGAGTCTTACCACCTTAAAAATATATAGTGATAGTCAAGTAGTAGTCAGTGAAGGAAAATATAAAGGAAAAACAAGCAAACAAAAGGAAAAATGAATCAACAAACAAAAGAAATAGTCACAGGACAGGAGCTCTAAGGACATCTAATTAACCACTTAAAACGCTTTTACTATCTGCTTCTGAAATTGTGGAGAAATAAAACTCTTAGTTTATGATTCAAATTTAGGCTAGTGATTTCAGGGTTCATAGAGACCAATCATAGTTAACATTGTCTTTCTTAACCTTACCCTTGAGACACAAAACTGAAGTGAAATAAAAAAAATGTGGGTGTTGTGGCTTGTGTGTAGATGTCTTCCCGAAGTCTCATGTGGTCATAGGTGGGGCTTTTCTGAGGAGGCTGGATCTAGTGTGTGACACTGGGATTGATTCATGATGCAGTGATAGAATTAAGGCACTAAGATTAAAGGTGTGTGATTAAATTAGTCCACTGATTGGATAGAATATGAATTGGACCAAAGGAAGCTACTATGATTGCTTGTAACTTTAGTGCCTTCTGCTTTCTGTCTTCTGGTCACCATGAACTGTTTCTCTTCTGCACTGCCCCTCTGCCATGCTACCCTTCATTGGAGCCAGCTGATTATGGACTGAAACCTCTATACCCTGTGAGCTAAAATAAACCTTTCCCCCTGTAACTTTGGGCGTTGGGTATTTTGTCTCAGCAATGAGAAAAGTAAGATGGAATTTGGTAGGAAGAGTGGAGTCATTGCTAAGAGTGTACCTGACCCTGTGGTTCAGGAGCCTTTAGAATTGGCTTAGGGAAGGAGTTTGGTAAGGTTCAGAGGCGCTGGCTGAAAGAACAGCCCTGCAAAGCTTTAGGCTATATTTGATGGGAGATTCTGGACAGAGTTTGGAAGACCAAATGTTGGTAGAAATGATGCCAGTGAAAACCAGGCTTAGGAGGTTTCTGTTGGAAAAAGGACTGTACTGATTGTTGGACTGCAGATGCTGTGTGTTATGCCTTGGCAGAAGGTTTGTCTGCATTTTGCTCATGTCCAGAAACTTTACCTGAGGCTGAGATTAAGGGTGCAGAGGAAATTTCAAGACACACTAATGTTGAGGCAGTGGCATGACTATGGTTGGGGAATTTTAGCTAGATCTGTGTTGAGAATCAAAAACAAAGAGCCCAGGAGAATGATCTGAAGTGTTTTGAGTTTGACCAGAAAGGAAGCACCAATAAAGCTATGGACTAGAAAGATAGAGCAGAGGAGCTCTTGATTGCTGAGAAGGATCAAGAAAATAGAAAAGATGGCCTGAGGGCACAACAAGAACCAGCAGGACTCCTCTTTGCAGCCTCAAAATTGAAAAAAGTGAAAACTCCTTTGAGAAGACAGCCTGAGAGCACCATGTTCCAGAATGGTGGCAGCCTAGTGAAGTTGTTCCTTAGGACTTGACTCCTACAGCCAAGAGAGAAGAAACCTTGGCTACTCCTCCAGCTGGCAACAGGCCTTGTCATTGTCCATGTGGTGCTGGATTTAGAAGCATGCAGAATGCAAGTGTTGTGACATCAGGGAGGCTTCTACCCAGGTTTCTGAAGAAGGCCTGGGAGGGCAGGCACATTGCCTGACAGGGCAATGTATGAAGCTGTGATTGTGAGGCTGAAAGTACAGTGGAGACAACAGAAGTTTGGAGAATCCAGGAACGTGGATCAGCAGAGGAAAACTACAAGGAGGTAGCAGAGCCAGCCCCAGAGACAAGCTGGGAGAGCTACAATCACCAGCAGAGTCACCCAAGGCCTTTGGAGTTAACATCTTGCCACAGATTGCCTCAGATGCCACACATGGAACTATAGGACTTAATGTTTGACCTGTTGGATTTTGGATTTGCTTTGTTCCTATCTTCATTACTTTTCTTATTGGTGAGACAAAAATACCTGACACCCAAAGTTAAAGGAAGAAAGGTTTATATGGCTCACAGTTATTAGACATTTCAATCCATAAACTGCTGACTCCAAGGCAGAGTGGCATCGTAGAGGAGAAATAGTTCTTGGTGGGCAGAAGATAGCAAAGGAAACAAAGGACCCTATCAGCCTTTTTTTGCCCCTTTTGTACTCTTTCTTGGTTACCAGGAGTAGGACAGTGCCGAACCAATCAGTGGAGTGATTTAATAAACATACATCCTAATCTAACGTCACACACTGTAGATTCAGCCACCTTTGGAAAAAAAACCAACTATGACTACATGAGGCTTTGGGGTGAGGGGGCATCTAGACACAAACCATAACAGTTTCCATTCATCTCTGTCTTCCTTTTTGTACCTTTTGGAATGGAAATGTCCATCTTGTATCATTGCATGTTGGAAGTGTTTAACTTGCTTTTTCATTTGTGCAGGGGCTCACAGCAAAATGTTTGCCTTAAATCTCAGAGGAGACTTTGAACTTGGACTTTTCAGCAATGCTGAAATTGTTAGAACATTGGCAACTCTTGGATATGGACTAAATGCCTTTTACATAAGAGGATCTGCATAAATCTTTAGGGGGGCAGGGGCAGAATGTTATTGCTGTGTCTAGATGTCCGCCCAAAGCTTTATGTGGTCATAGGTCAGACTTTTCAGAGGTGGCTGGATCTAGAGTGTGTGACACTGGGATTGATTCATGGTGCAGTGGTAGGATTAAGGACACCAGGATTAAGAGTGTGTGAATACCAAATTAGTCCACTGATTGGTTTTTCACACACCCCAAGCCAAGTAGCCTAGATAGAATATGAATAGAGCAGAAGAAAGCTATTATGGTTGCTTGTAGCTTGGTGCCTTTTGCTTTCTGTCTTCTGTTCACCATGAATTGTTTCTCCTCTGTGATGCCCTCTTCCATGCCACTCTGTATTGAAACCAGCTGATTATGGACTGAAACGTCTAAAAATTGTGAGCCAAATTAAATCTTCCCCCTTTAACTATGGGCATTGGGTATTTTGTCTCAACAACACAAAAAGTAACTAAGACAGTTGTCCAGCTCTTGTAGAAAGTACACCCTCAAAAAGAGATACTTTTGAAGTTTCATTTTAATGTAATCAGGAGAACATTGTTAAACTGTGTTTTTAGCAGATGCCTAGTGATCAAGTTTTAGATTATGTCTTAAAATAAATGGAAATGAAACCAAAAATTAAAGGCCATTGATAGGCTCTGCCATTTAAACCTAGAGAAATGAGTCTTTTTTTTAATATTGAGAGGAGATAGTCACTTTATTTCCTATGTTGTGTGGCCTGTTCTTTTTGATGGCTTCTCTAAGCTGTATGAAGATAAGCACCTTCTCTTCTTTCCTCAGTGGAATTGGTAAATTTAGCTAAGCCCACTTCACTTCAGGAAGGACACCACTGTGCTGACTCTGCACCTGAATGGGAATACTGACCTGATTCTCTCCCCTTCCCCTGCTGTGAAGTTACATGTACACGTACCCACAAATAGAATGTGATCATCTGTGTGAAGCACCTTTATTACTCTTATAATCATTTTTTATTTATTCATCTCCTTTTTCATGGTTTTTTGAAAATAAGCATCCTATTCCATTGATGTTTGTATACCCAGAATCTAAAAAGTGTTGGTATAATAAATATATTTTATTGTTATTTAACACATATTTATATATGTTCCATAACACATGTTAAATCATTT